ACAGTTGCTCCCAACGTATCACTTTTTTTCTGGAACCCATATTGATATTGATCAAAATTGTACTTGGTTACAACAAATCTCACAAGTCTGATTTTTATATTTTTTTTCCAAAATTTTTGAAAATTTATTAAGTGAAATGGGTCGATAGTTATCGAGGTCATTATGTGGTCCATTTTTATATATAGGACTAGGAGTTATTTTTGCAGTTTTAAGTTCATCTGGAAACTTACCACATTGCAGGCAGTTATTTACTAGTTTTATTATGCTTTCCCCAATAATGTCAAAGAGTTGTAATATGTCGTGCTTGGTAATATTGTCTATTTCTGGTGAGGACTTTTTTTTTTATTTCCATTTTAGTTTTTTGGACTTCAGGTAGATTCGTAGGTACTAGAAATATAGTGCTCTGTTCTTCTTCATCTTCAAATTGGTGATTCACTCTGGGTATTTTGTTTGCTAAGTCTCGGCCTACATTAGCAAAATTATTGCTTGTTAATTGTGCCATTTCTTCCATATATCTTCCACAATTTGTGTATCTGATATTTTTACTTGTCTGATCTGGTTTTGTTTTTTTTTCTTTACTGCACAATTCATTCAATACATTCCAGGTCTTCTTCATGTCATTTCCAGCATTTTTGATTTTTTTTCTGCATACTCTTTTTTCAAATTCTTTCCCAAATTGTTTACTTCAGTCTTTGCTAATTTAAAATTTCTTTCTGCATATTCATTTGGGTTTTGTTTCCATCTTACATAATATTTATCTCGTTCTATATTCTTTTTTTGTATTCTTGTGTAGCCCAGTAATTTTGGTTTATTATTTTGATTTTATACTCAGTTGTGTTTTCGTTTCTTAGTATCATTTATTACTCTTGCTAATTGTTCAAATGTTGTAGTCTTCTCACTTGCTGATATAGTTTGTAGAGTTTGCCTCCATGCATCAATGTTTGGTTTTAGTTCGGGTTATCTCTTTATTCCATAGGATTTTCTCTTTTTAACATAAAAAAAATATTTTATGATCAGAGATTATGTGGTGCTCTAAGTGTAGACTGCATACGAACTTGTCACTAGTTATAACATGATCAAGGATGGGACCTTGTAGTTCTCGTGTAGTTTCATGAACATTTATATTGTTTTGAATTTTCAGCCTATTCATTTGGATAATATTTTTGTACTCTCTTATAGTCGTAGTATCACTTAGGAGATCAAGGTTCATGTCACCAACAAATATTATATCTTTGTGTTGTTCCATTAGTTTGTCAAAAATGTTTAGAAAAGCAGCACCATCATTTGAGGATTACCTATAGATTGCACATACTGTACATTTTAAGGTTTTTATATATACTTTTACAATATTTATATTGTCCGAATTACTATCGTCCGAATCAATATGATTATAATCGAAACCATCTTTAACAAGGATGCACACTCCTCCACCTCGAGTATCTCTACTATGGTGGATTGAGGAATACCCCAGCAGGTTATAATATTTTTGTTCATTGGTGTATATCCAGGTTTCCGTTAATACGATTATGTGAATATCATCATTCTTCTCCTGTACAATATTGTTTAATTCGTCCAGCCTATACCGAAGGCTTCTGATAATTATATACAGTATATTATATTTCGTGCTTTTTTCATCCACCAGGTTTAGCATATTGTCGTTATATTTTTAATTTCAGTATAGGACTCTTCAGGGTCGAGTTCAGAAATAACGCACAGGATGCGAGTGCGATTTTATGGGTGTGCCTGAATTGACAATTGGCCATTGAGCCCATTGCATCGTCTAGCATTTTTGAACAGCTAGGGCGTCGCACCGGTGTCACACTCATACTGGGTATGTCATTCCTGAACTCGCCCCAGTTACTTTCACATCTTATTCTAATGGGATCGTCCAGGTCAGACTTTCTTAAATAAATCCTACGGTTCCTAACATACGCCGCCGCTTCCATGCAATTTAGATTTTACAATTCTCTCGTTTTTTTAAATAATTGCTAGTTGAATCTGGTTAGGTCTTCATTCTCCCAACAAGCCACACTCGTTCACCTTGATACCTTTGGTTTCTTTGATTCTTCTTTGTAGTTTCACTCTTAAATCCTTATTGTTAAATTCAACTAGTATGGGTGCATCATCTCGTTTTGTAATTCTATAGATATCTTGTATATCATTTTCTCCCACTTTAACTGTCATTGCCTCAAACACGTTCTTAACAATTGTTTTTGGTTCAACATCTTGCTTGGGCACTCCAGATACAATCAAGTTACATTCCTTCTCTCGTTGTTCATTTATGTTTATTTGTTGTTCTATTGTTGCACTTTTAGTTGTAGTGAGTTGTTCTCTTCCTTTAAGTTGCGTTAAGTTTAACCTCACTTCCGTCCGGTAAAGAACAATACACTTTATTTTCAGAATTTAGAACTTTTCGTTGGCTCGCACAACTAGGATGGAAGCTAAGATTACAGACTTCACAATCATATGAAAATTTCACAGATTTTTTGCAATGTTTGCATATTTTTTCGTTTTCTTCAGGAGTTTGATTTTTCACGTTGTTTTTGTTCAACATAACCTCAGATATTAACAATACAAACGTAGCCTCATACACAGGACAGACAAAAGACTGCGTGCAAACCAGAAAAATCATGACAACCTCTGCGCAGTTGAAAATCAGGAAACATTGCTCATTGTTATGTCCTATAATCAGAACCTTCGAAACTATTTAATCAAACGAAATTTCACGTTTTTACAATGGGATCGGAGAACTTTACTGCATCGATTATTATGATCGGTTGGAAAAGTATTCTCAGACATCTGTAGCTTCTAGCAAAAACTTTTTGTATTGGCGGATTCCCTTCCTGCTGTAACAAGCTCACTGATGCTGATCAAGGGAAATCCAGGGTGATGGCTCTTAGGATATTAACAGACCTCTTTCAGTATAAAAGCTTGTTGTTTTAACAAACTTGGAATTCCAAAGGTTTTTATTTTCGAAACATTGCCTACCCATCACCTTATTCACCTTCAAATAAACTTTTGTTGAATATTAAAAAACGTGCAGCATTAACTTGGTAACAATCTCTCATTTATTTGAAATAAATTTTCGGTAAGTCTACACAGGACATAGTATATTATTTTATTTTCTACTTTACTATTATAGATCCATAATACCTAGGAAACGAAATACGTTAACACACCTATAACAACCTGATCCATAACGCCCGCTTTTGCGGGCGTTATGATCTATAACGCCCGCTTATAATACCTTAAGGTGTTTTTGTTTTTGTTGTTCTATTAATTTGCACTTTACCCTAGGCAGCCACTAAATGTCTGACCGAAAATAATTTTCGGTCTAGCCAGGATTCGAACCCGGTCTACCATCAACGTTTCCCATGTAGTCCAGCGCGTTAACCCACAGGACCACCACCGTTGCCTTGCCTTATGAGATGTTTATAGATATATCAATTTATTTCGTTTCTATGTACAGGTCGCAAGTACAGGTACAGGTCACAGGTACAGGTACATGTCAAAATACAAATCAATATTCTGTCACACAAGTTTAACTGATTTTGTTAATAATAAATTGATGAAAAAATATTGGGTTGAGTAGAAAATAAAGCATTGTATGCACCACGGGGATTTCAAGATTATAATGCCCTTCAGGCGAAATATATCCCTCGGACCATAGGCCCTCGGGCTAGTTTCGCCTTCGGGCATTATAATCTACATAATCCCCTTGGTACATAAATAGCTATAATCTACGTCGGTGTCATTATGACACATTTAGCATTGTCATTTGAATGTCATTAGGTCCTTCATAATAGCACTAGTGCGTTTAAGAATTCATAATAACACCCAAATTTTGAAATGAAAAATATACAAAAAGAAAGTTAGTTGCCAGAAGAACCTTTTCAATAATGCTGTCTCTATATTGGAAGAGACACTTTCGAACTCAGAATCACCAATAATAATATTATTTTCCACTATAAAATTGAATTTACGGCACAAAAATGAACTCCAATATTGAAGCTGCCAAAGTCAAAATTCTAAAAACCAACAAGCAGGTTCTCGGCTAGTACGGGCACCTGCTAAATTTCAAATTTTAATTTGAAAAGTTTTTGCTATTTCAAGGCAAATCAAATCTATTTGGACCATTGTAGATTAAATTTTGAATGATACACGTTCGATATGAACGCCATAATGAAACGCGTGTAACGTTAAACCACGAGGCGTTAGCCGAGTGGTTTAGTTACACAAGTTTCATTAATAAAGTGTATCATTAATCACTATAAAGAGCGTTTAATGTAGGCTATATTACATGAGCCGCAGGCGAGTGCAATTTGACGAAAATGAGTTGGTGCCCTTCTTTAGTCGCCAGTCTACAGAGATGTTGTATACAAGTAATGCTGGAGATGCTACTTGTGCGGCTGTATGAATTTCTGGAGGGGTGCATGGAATTTTGTTTTCACTGTCGGAATGCTTGAGAAACACGCGTTAAACACAATTTAAGCGCAACTGAAAACTGCAAAATTACTGCAAACCATCTGCAAACGTCTAATTAATTTGTTCGTCTAATATAGGTACTTATTTTGTCAAAATCAAATATTTTAGTTGCACTAGTAACAACAATCCAAACAAGCTCGATTCTATTTTGGAACGCTGTCAATGCTGTCATGTTATGAAATACGTATAAAAATGTATCTATATTCCACGGGTGTGGAATATGAGATTCATATTCTACAGGTGTGTAATACGAATAACATTATGTGGTTACTATCACAAGCAAAATGCGTCTTTTAATAAATAAACATAGATAAACAGTATTTTCATTGCTCCCACACAGACATGATATGGATATGAATATGGATATGAAAAAAATAAAATAAAAATCCCGTTCATCCATTTCCTAGCAACTATGAAAATATCGGAATATTGAGATTTGAGTGGCATATCATTGTTCACTTTTTATGGTTATGTTGACTATGAACAGACTTTTAATTTGAGCCTAGGTAACTTACCGTCATTGTCACTAGTATTGTTGTCATTATTATCCTTATTTGGACTAGGAGGTCCGCGAAGAGGCTCTCTTGGAATTGAGGGTTGATGCATTGGAGGCAGGAAAGTTTGCCCATATCGAGTCGCTGGTGACAAGGCCATTGTTAATGATACCGGTGGACTAAACAAAATAAACTGGTTATTGCATCAAGTTAATAAACATTATGCAATTGCTCATCAAGCGAGTAATTATAGTATTTTTGAAACGTGATATATTATGTTGTTCAGAAGCGTAACATTTTTTGGGTTGATCAAACAATAAACTCGTCTATCGATTAGCGGATGTTGCTGCTTTGAAGTCAAAGGATCAAAGTGATAATCGCTCATCCACCAAATTATCTTTTGTCATACGTTAAAATGTCGCTTTTGTTAACGCTTGGTCTGTCTTTTGAACATTAAAAGCCCCTGAATCATGAAAAACCAACTGCTTTTAAATATTCAATAATAACGTGATAAATAAAAATAATTGAAAGCCTTCTTGCTCGCTAACAAAATATATGATGATATGACACACATTTTTTTTATTAAAGGGCTTTGTCGTTATGTTATATGAATGTCTAGTCCTACTCAAGTTTAGTTTTCGTAGTAAAATTATTAATTTCCATCTCATTCTATGAGCTGGACTCAATTATTGAATCAATTTTTTTTGAAATTTTTAATAAACTGTTATTATCCGCAGTAGAATAGATAACTACAGTATGCTAAAGACCACCCAAAACATATAGTATTTTCAAAGCGTAAGATCTAGAGAAAAAAAAATAAAGAATTTTGAGTAGATGAGATATTGGAACATTTCTAAGGAAACCCCAAACGAAATATTTTTAATGCTGAAAGTTGCCTTGATTTTTGTAGTAGGTACATATGCGTTGTCCAACTAGGCATTGAAGCTTTGAAAACTTGATGTTTAAGACATTCAGGACCTACAAAATTCTATTGAGGTGTACTAAACATTGATGATTTTTTGTGTTTTACAGCAACGACATACGCTTGCCCTATTGCCGAAGCTAATGAGAACATAACTCAGTCAATTTTGGAATGAAGCAAAAAAGTTTCTACATTAACAATAATAAAATTGCAAGATTACCAATAATTATAAAATTGTAGAAATCTAGAAACTTCTTTGTTTTCTTTCAAAATTTTCAATGGATTTTCGTCAAGTGTCTTAGAACTTAAGATAGTAAATATAGTAGCAAATAGTCAAAAACCCGTGAATCTTTAAACAATAATTAATTGCATCGTCTTCTAAGCATATGATGATAATCTAACGACTTTATTTAGCCGAGGACGTAAATACCGATAGGTATTTAAGGGATAACTCCGCCTACAGCAAAATTCAACTTACCCAAAAACTCCTACAGCTACCGCAGCCTCACGTAAAGCCCTTTCTTGCTCCGCACTCATGTCTCGGAGTGTTTCAGGTCGAATTGTTGCAGTGTTTCTCGGTTGTCTTTCATTTTGTACAGCTAAAAATTTAATGGCTGGTTTAGAAAGTAATCATCTGTTAAAGACTTATAAATATTCTGAGTTAATGTTTAGGATGACTGAAAGAATATTATAATTTTCGAATATTAAAAGATGGATTAAAATTTTATTATTTATGATAGTATGATACTTTTTTCAAACGCGTTTGACTGAACATGTACAGATTTTATATTGTGAGCATATCTTTATAGAGTGTGCTTTATAAAAACTGAAACCTTTAAACTTTCAAAAGCAATTTTCAACAACTACTATCAAACTCGTTTTCCATAGACAGCTCGAAATTTCATAGAACGCAAATATATATGAACCGCGAGCCAAATGCTGATCATCAAGTAAAAGCTAGAGGCAGTTTAATTTTCCAGTTGCAAATGAAGGCAATCGAGTCGTGCCGGAGAGAACCAGAGGAAATCCTTTGTCATTTCAGCAATTATTACTTAACCACGCCTGTGGTAAAGCGTCGTGTTCCTTTTGACTTTGCAAATTTCAGAATGGTTTTAAATTAAATGAAGCAGTGGATAATCTATGGTTTAAATTGGAGATATTATGATATTTTGTGATTGGTTCGAGAACATTCAGAGATAAAATTCTGAAATAGAAAGTTTTGTAAGTTATATATTGCAAATGAAGTATTTAGGTACCTAAATGGGAATCGACAGCTACTCTAGTTCGTGCATGCGCTCCCAATACCGCTTTGGATCTATGGTCGTTGAAATATGTGTGGTCTACAATCGTAGACCGCGCGCCTAACGTAGGGTTTTAATGGCTATCTGCACGAAACAATTTATTTCGAGTGAACATTGATTTCTTTCATGAGTTTTGTTGAAGTTTGCTTATTTTGGGGGATAATAAAATATATTGATATGTTCCTGCAGCGAATTTCACATGAGCATGACATCATATACCAGGCAAGTTCTCCATGTAAGGCCTCGCAAAATAAGATGCATCAGTTGCTGAAACGTAGCTGGAGCATTAAACAATTCGAAAGGCATTACGGTAAACTGGTATAACCCGCTTCCAGTACTGAAGGCAGTTTTCTCTTTTTCATCTTTGTGTATTGCTACTTGTTAGTTTCCAATAGTGAGATCCAAGGTGGAAAACCATTTGGAGCCCGATAGAGTTGTTAATGTATCATCAATTCTCGTAAGAGAGAAGCTGTCCTTCTTGGTGACGTCCTTAGGATTAGGGTAGTCCACACAAAATCTAAGACTTCCATATTTCTTTGTAACCAATACTACTAGCGCAGACCATGGACTAATTGACTCTTGAAGCATTTTATAAATTTGGTTTTCCACTTCCTGTTGTTTAGCTACTGGCATACGTCGAGGTGGTTATCTAATTGAGTGTACCAATCCAGTATCAATTTTGTGTTGAATTAAACTGGTCCGTCCGGTTTGATTATCCCACACAAATACGTCTGCTTCTTCCAAGATGAAAGCTGTGGCTTCTTGAAGTCTATCTGGATCGAGATGTTTCCATGATTTCTCCAAAGTCTGCATAAAAGTGTCTGTATCCAATTTCGGTTTTACAAATTATCTGGCAGTTCGATATTTGCTTAACTGGTTCGAGAGTTCCAATAATATCTCCTTCCTTTATTTCTACTCTTTCAGATGAAACATTGGCAATTCTTATGATAATGTCTCTAGTGTTGCAGGTCGCAAGAAATCTTGTCTTGCTCGGTTATTTCTTGTCTTGTCTTGCTAAGCAAGACAAGAAATTTCCAATTTCTTGGTCTTGCAAATTTCTTGCAAGCTTATTTCTTGTTCTTGCTGCAAGACTCTTGCTATTTCTTGTTCTTGCTTCATAAAAAGTTCCTACGTAGATTTGACATTGGTTATAGTCCCTTTTCAAAGAGTTGAGCAAGTTGAGTTTTAAAATAATGATTGAACTTCCTTGAAAAAACTCAAACGTTTTTAATTGTATTAAAGAAGATTACATTAGACAAGTCGACGAATTAAATGTTTAATGAAAATGTTTTATTTTTGAAAGTTTTCATTATATTGGAACCTTTACAAATATTTTTCAAGTTGAATCTTATTTAGACGTGTTCAGCACACTTTTTTGTGAGTACCTACTGAATGAAACTGAGCCGTCACGTTCTACTATGTAACGCTCATTCGGGTACAGTCGTCTCGAGTCAACACATTTTTTGACAATAATCATTATTTTCTGTTTTTTTTTTTATCGTAATTTAATATATGTAATATAAACGTATGCCGAATGCTCATGTGTGACAGAAATTGCTGTTTCACACAGGCATAATCTAAAGAATATTTGGCAAATGGATTTAAATCAAAACTATTCATATCTTTGATACGAGTCACCGTCGATTCGCTGTAAATCAATACGTCGTATACGTCAATTCGGCGTAAAGTTAATTCGTCGTATATGTCAATTCGTCGTATGCGTCAATTCGTCGTAACATTACTTCGTCGTATACTCCAATTCGTCGTATTTCAGGTATTATGTGAAAATATTGAAATGTATAAATTTACACTGTCTAGTTAGTTATTTCAGACATTACCAAACTTAACCCCGTTGGTTTGCAATTTTAATCAGGCATTACATTGCAAACTAACCAGGCTATTATCGGTAAGTTTGATGATGTCTGATTAGAATTGCAAACTATTAACACGTTAATTCATCGTATACGTCAATTCGTCGTATTTTTAATTCATCGTTTTCAGATACGATGTTAAAATGTATAAATTTACTGTTTAATCAGACGTTATCAAACTTACCGTCCTTACCGATAATAACGACGAATTACCTGTATTAAAAAGTTCTTGTGCCTCAGACGCTACGCTAATAGGTTAACGCTAACAATACGGTGTTTTAAATAGTACCTATTTTATAGTTCTCGGATACGAAGACACAGAAATCCTCTAATCCCTTATTCGGTTTTGACAGCTGGAATTGAGTGATCTAACCCAACTTTTTTTTGCTTGTTTTTTCACTTTTATTTATCCTGAAGATTCCTGAGTATCATTAATTTTCTCATGGTGTTTTTTTTATGGAAGAATTATCAGAAACTGTTGTTCTTGCAGATGTTAATGGGGCGTAAACTAATTTTGTCATAGCGTAGCGTTACGGTAAGGCATCCGCTAAGTCCCGTTAGTAAGCGGGCTCCGCTAATGCTAATACCGTAAGCATTGTCATACTTGTCAAATAGCGTTACGGTATTCGAAATATGGACAACACGAGAACTCTCCATCGTCGTATACGTTACTTTACCACAATTTGACGTGTATGACAAATTGACTTTACGACGAATTGACGTATACGTCGAATCAACGCTACGAGAAATTGACATATACGACAATATGGTAATGCGTCGGTATTATAGGTAAACTTGATAATGTCTGATCAAATAGAAAAAGTGCAAATTTATACACTTTAACATTATACCTAAAATACGACGAATTAACGCTACGACGGATTGACGTATACGACGAATTAACTTTACGACGAATTCACGTGTACAAAAAATTGAATTTACGACGAATTGACGTATACGACGAATTGTCTTTACGACGAATTGACGTATACGGCGAACTGACTTTACGACGTATTGACTTTACGACGAATTGACGTATGACGAATTGACTTACGACGAATTGACATAGACCCCTTTGATACAAAGGTAGATCAATCTGGGCATTGAATATAGAGCATGAAAAATACCTGTATTTCCTATTGTTAATCTCGCCTAATTGAAGTTTTCACTTTCTGTCCTGTGGTCTTGAGCACACACCATTTTTAAGAATCTTGTTGAGACAGCATATTTTTTGTTTGTTGTGTTTTATTAGAATACGAATTTTTTGTAACTGCTTCTTCAATGAAACGTCCTATTTATGTACCAAACTATAAAAAAGGTTTTTTTTTTTGTCAAATTATTTTATTTATTTACAATAAATGTTATTCGAGTATAAGTAATTATGTGTTATTTTTTGCTAATATTCATTAACTACCTAAATATTATTATTCAAAATAAATTATGCAAGAAGTCTTGCTTCTAGCAAATTTCTTGCACAAGAAATCTTGTTCTTGCTTATGAGTTTCTTGTCTTGTATATTTCTTGCTCATCCACTTCTTGTCTTGTTCTTGCATGCAAGAACAAGACAAGAACAAGAAAAAGCAAGACAAGAACAAGAAATACCTGCAACACTAAATGTCTCCATTTGTTCTTACTAGTCTTTCCTTTCCAACGAGAAATTTTTCTGATTTATCTCCAGTAAAATTATGTGTTAGCTAGCAAGCAGGGTTTCTTTCCAATTTTCCGCAAATGATCTCCTCAGTAGTTTCAGGAATCCTCACCGGGTTTGTGGCCAGGATCTTAACGGCTTGAGATTATTCTTGTGTAGTTGGGACTTTGAGGCTGTTCATATAAGGATCGAAAGAGAAACTATGTTCCCAAATTAAAATCATCTTCTATATCGGCGCCTAATGTTCTGTGCCTGAAGGTGGTAGATCCAAAAGTAAGCTCAATCATAGCTTCTCCTTGAACTGGTGCTGATTCGCCCGTGATTGTTCGTAGCGACAGGTTTCTGGTGAGCGGTTAGATTGCCCGAGACTTGACTAATGTTTTTCTAATTATAGAAAGTGATGGTTTTACATTCTCCATTAATTTTCCTTCGAATTTCAATCCTCCATAATGACTGCCCAATGATTTTATCTAAACGACCTTAGGGGCTTCGTCATTACTATCCAGCCTTCGCCCCTACGTACTGGTTGGTTCCTGTGTGTTATTAGGGCTGGCGTCTCTAGATCTTGAAAAGCGTTGAAAACGATCCCTGGATGGAGAGAACATCCTTAGTCTACAATCCCATTGCATTTGTCCAAGCCTATGTCACCGGTAACATTCTACTCGGTTTCTCAGTGTTGGTATTTGTCTGGAATCGTTTCCCGTTTTTCTACCTTCTAGTAGGAGTTTTTTCATTTTCTCCATGAAATTACTCATAACGTTCTCGAAACTACCATACAC